TAAGGGTAAAACCGTAAAATGGTCATTAAAATTAAAAGAGGGCAAACTTAAAAATGGACTCTCAAATGGGGCATTTTTGAAAAGGGGTATTGAAAAAGGAGCATTTTTAACAATTTCTCAAAAAATATCATTACAAACTTTAAGCAAATCCATTTACCAAAACTTACAACCCGCACGACGGTGCGGGTCAGGATCTAGTTCTTTTATAATGGAATTAGACTACTTCACAATGAATGAATTTCTAGACAATCAAACCGGTAAGACATGATCCAGGTCAAAGACATCATGATCCACACATTTCTTCTGGATACCGTGAGGTTGAAAATAACACCAACAAATTAACGTTTCGAAAAAAGCCTTTAAACATATCAGATCTTAATCTAACCTTACCAAATTATACATATTAGGCTTCTTCTTTTTTTACACTTTAAAATCTGAAAATGCCAAAACACTTGAATAATTCAAACCGTGCTGCCAAAAACAATAAAAATAAATAAAGTTGTTCGTTTGTCTGTCGCTGGTTCAGTGACCAATCGCAGCGACCAGCGACCGTAATTTTCAGTCGCTGAAATTTTTAGCGACCAGTTACTGGTTTTAGCGACCAGTCGCTGCTTTTGGTCGCTGAATCAGTGACAGGCAAACCAACAACTTAGCGATAAAAAAATATATAAAATAATCAAAAATAAATTAAATTAAATTAAATTAAACTAAACTCAATTAAATATAATCAAAACTAAACTTAGTTAAATATAATTAAATTAAAATGAATTAGATTCAAATAAATCAAATTAATAAAATCTAAATTAAAATAAATCTTATTAAATTAAAATAAATATAATTAAGTTCAAATTAATCTTTTTAAATTAAAATATATTAAATTAAAATAAATCAAATTAATTTTAAAATTTTAAAATATAGCGACTGTTTAGAGCGACAGTCAAACGAACAACACAACTACAGTCGCTAACGACAGTCGCCAGCAACATGCAAACAAACAACACATACTGTCGTTGGTCGCTGATCGTTGTCGCTAATCGCTGCCGCTCAATCGAACGACAAGCAAATGAACAGAGCCAATATAAACAAATCTAAATTCGGATGGGCACCAATGATATTTAAGCACATTAATAAATAACACACAGTATAATTGAGGTAGAAGAGTGAACGTTACAATAAATATATGACCGTTATATAAGTTATAATAAATATATATTTAAATGTACATACTAGAAAAAAATACAACATCTTTTATGAATAATAGCGAACAGAGCCGGCTCTGGATGATTTTTTGTTTGTTTGTTTCTTCATCCAAATTATTAATTGGTGTACATTTTAAATGAGATCTTAGCTTCTTAGTTGTAGAAACTAGAGAATGATTTGGGGGAAAACTCTTTATTATGTGTTATTGATTTCAATGGAGTTGATACAATATATATAGAGACTAATTTAGATTTAACCTAATTAGATTAGGAAATAGATAAACATGAATAAGTAAATATTCTAAATTTCTTAATCCTTATCACAATAGGATTTCTAGAATATTCTTCGGCTTGAGCTTCACGGGCTTGGTCCGCTGTCTTGCTTCCCAAGTTACCTCAATACTCTCCCGCACGGCAAACGTGGTACGCAAAACGCAAACTTTGCAATCACAAAGCAGAACACGTATGTCGTGGACAATATGTCGAAGATGGACAGATCATGTGAACAAACGCCTCAGGGTATAAGCTTCAATCTTGAAAATAGAGGTGGAATTTTTGCTCGTCTTTGGTCTTGGTAAAAGGGAATACATCCCGTGGACCCAAATTATGCTGCTCCACAAACAATCATCCTAATCTTGGATGGTCCATAACTCAGACTAAACATGACCTAAAAACATGAGTGTTCCAATAAACTATACTAATGGTTAAACTATAACCAAACTCCCCCGTAATGGTAAAACTATTACCAAACTCAAAATACTTAACAAACTTGAAAAATTCTAAAACTTAAGAATATATCCCAAAAAACCTAACCTGTGAAAACCCAAAAAATTCTAATCATGAACTTTGTAGAAAAAAACTCTCCCGATAATTATGCCTCTTGTAACAAATAAAAGAAACTCATTTAAAAGAGAAACCCCAAATAAACTAAATAAACTTGAAAACCATAAAAGACTTCTAATTAAGAACACCAACGATCTTCACCTAACCCCACATCATAATCATCTTCATCGGCTTCCTCGCCGTCTTCAACGTCGTCAACGTCTTCAACGTCTCCAGTGAGTTTCACCATGATCTCTTTTGAAGATGAGATCACAAAATATCTAATGCGGAAGCGTTTTAACTTTGATCCACAAGGATCGATTGCTCTGATACCATGTAGAAACTAGAGAATGATTTGGGGGAAAACTCTTTATTATGTGTTATTGATTTCAATGGAGTTGATACAATATATATAGAGACTAATTTAGATTTAATCTAATTAGATTAGGAAATAGATAAACATGAATAAGTAAATATTCTAAATTTCTTAATCCTTATCACAATAGGATTTCTAGAATATTATTCAGCTTGGGCTTCACGGGCTTGGTCCGCTGTCTTGCTTCCCAAGTTACCTCAATATTAGTTCTAACAATACCAAAAGGTTGTTGTACCAAATAAGAGAGATTTCATTTTGTTTTTCTTGTATTGATATATAAGGTATTATTAAGTTTTAGTTGAAATATTTGAGTCACTTAATACTGAAAAATAATAGTTTTTTTAAGAAAATTAAAGGGATGTATTTTTCAAAAATAAACAAAAATTTAGGATATTTTTCAAAAATAGTTCTATAGAGGAATACATGCGTCTCATCTCATCCATGGTTTTTACTCAAATTTTAAAAAGATATTTGCATTTTAGGAGCCAAGTAAGAACAAGATCTAATTTTGGTATAAATTATACAACCAGATTTAAGATTTTATCTTTTCCCAGTAGCTTTTCTTTTGCTCCACCTATTAGATTATATCTTTGAACTCAACGCCTTAATTTGTCATTTTAATTTTGTTTGAATTTTTTTTTTCAAATTCGATTAACCATTTTTGTTTTCTCCTTTTGGGATTCTAATAGAGTGGTATTGTTGATTTTGTCTTTTTCACCTATTAGTATCTCTAAATATCAAGGTTGTTTCAACCAAAAAATAAGTTAATATGTACATAATTTGTAACTGAAACCAAATTTAAGGCTAAAACCATGACTTTCCGTTGGTTACCAAAGATACGTCATTCTTTAGATGCGATAAGGCATATCCTTAGATGGTTCAGATACTCTGACATAGCTATTGATAACGCTTGTGTGGCTCTCAATAAAAAGATGAATAGCAACATAGACGCAGAAGAGTTTTTTCTTTGTAAAAGATAATTTAATGATGTGATCAATTTTTATATAGAAAAAAAATGCTAGGTATATTCCAGTTATATTCTCGTTGAAATTTTTATTCCAAATAAAATTAGTTTAAAAATATACTAAGAATTGTTCTAGTTTTGTAAAGAACCAATTCAAATCTTCTAAAGATGTACTCGACTAATATAATAGAAAATATAATTATATCTTATTAAAGATGAAAAAATCACAACGAATCGACTCACATATTATTTAATTAAATTTTGTTACTCAACAATTTTTCTTATTGCGCTTAAGATATATTTGAACAGCCTAAAACATATATATATGAACTGAACTTATTATATATGCAAAACAGTTACAAATAACTAGAGATGTGTCTCATGGATATTGTAACAATACTAGGATTTAACCCGCGGTACACTGCGGGACAAATTATATTTTATGTATTTTATATAATAATTTATAATTTATTAGATTTTGAAATTTATATTATAAAAACTATTTCTCTTAATTATTTTATATTATAATTAATATAGTTGATATA